AATAATAATTATAGTTTACAATTACTACCACGATTAATATTATTCCATTTTTTTTCCCTTAAAACGCATAGACAAGAGTGTCATTTCGATGAAAATTTTCGACAAAATTCACACACATACACACATAGTTCAGTTTATCTTTTTTTCAATTTAAAAAGATAATCTGTAAAAATCTCATTTTGTCGTCATTTCATTTTTTTTTTATTGAGCTTTTCTAACGAAAGCGAGAATCACACATTAAAAATTCGTACCAAATGACAATAAATAGAATAAAAAAATTTTTTTTGAAAATTTTAAAAAGCATCGTCTTTTTGTTCTTCGACGTAAGTAATTTTTTTCAAAATAAATAAACTTTCTTATTCGTTATTTAATTTAATAAATATCTAATTTCATTAAAAATTGTCAAATTACAAAAGTCAAAAATTCGTTCGAAGAAAAAAAAGGCAGCGCTGGAGACTTCGATTACATTTTTAACTACATCAAGAAAATGATTTAAATTTTCCATAAAATTATTTTTTATAGTAATTTTTAAAGAGGAAATCAATGGTCCGAAAATATTCTGACCCTTTTTGGATTTTTCTTTTTCTTATTAATATTTTTTATTCATTTTAATAAATTAATTTTAATTATTTATTAATTTTTATTAATATTCTATTATAAATTCGTTTTTTTTAAATTAATAGATTTTAAAATCCATCTGTAATATTGTAGAAAATATGTCTTTTTGTATTCACAAAAAAATTGCAAAATGAAAAAAATGATTTTTAATATTTTTGAAGCATTTTTTTTTTAAATTGTTTTTAATATTAGGTTGAAATTAAAAAAAAACTATTATTTTTCAATTTTTTTATATAGAAATTCACTTGTTTATTTTTCTAACTAATTTAAAAAAAATCATAATTTTTTGTATTTTATACTTTTTATTTAAAAAAATGATTTGAAATTAGTTAGAAAAATAAATAAGTGAATTTCTATATAAAAAAAAAATTGAAAAACAATGTTTTTTTTTTAAATTTCAACCTAAAATTAAAAATAATTTAAAAAAAAAATGCTGCAAAAATATTAAAAATCATTTTTTCATTCGGCAATTTATTTTGTGAATACAAAAAATGTATTTTTAAAAAATTGCGAATGGATTTTAAAATCTATCTTTAAAAAAAAAAAAAAAAACGGTCAAAATATTTTTTGACCATTGATTTCCTTTCTAAAAATAACTATAAAAATAATTTTATGGAAAATTTAAATCATTTTCTTGATAAATAGTTAAAAATGTTGTCGAATTCTCCCCTTAAAAAGAAAAAGAGATTTCAATAAATTAGTTAAATAACCTGATGTAAGTTTAAAATCAATTAATAATTAAACATTTGCACGCGATCTTCTCCGAAGAAAATATACCGAAAAGTATTAATTAAAAAAAAGTAACATAACCTAAATTAATTTTAGGTTATGTTTGTAATTATCGAAATAAAAATCATAAAAATAAAGTTGATCGAGTCATAACGTTTTCATTACATTTAAAATAGTTAATAAAAACTGATTTTAGTTTTAAATTAAACATAGAAACTTCTAATTATGGTAAAAATTAAAATCATTAAAATTAAGATAAAAATTAAAATTAAACACAAACATAACCTCAAAATGATTAGATACCTTTCTTCAGAGCGTGTCACACATTTGTTTCGATATTAAAAAAAAATTTAAATTCATGAAGAAGGAAACATCAATATGAGACCGTTTTTGTGATATTATTATGGAATTTTTTTTAAATTTGAATACGATCTGCATTTACAAATTTCATTCTTCTTATGTCGTTACTTTTGGTAAAAAAAAATTTTTTAAGTCTGTTCAATGTCATAATTTAAAAGAAAAAGAGAAATCAAATTTTAAATCCGTTTCAAGGGAAAGACGATTTAACATTTTAAAAAATGTATTTGAGTATAAAAAATTACAATTTTTAATCTCGACAAGAAATTTAATACTTTTTAAAATTTATGTGACCTGAACAGAAAATTGTAATTTTTATTCAAATGCATAACTTTAAATTGTTGAAAATTAAATTCTTTAGGTATTTGAAATTTATTTTGTCGCACAAATTAAGAAAATTATGACATTGAATTTCGACAATAAAAAATAACGAAACGTGTTGTACATAATTTTTTCCGCTTATTTTGTCCTACGATTTATTTTATTTAATAATATTTTTTTTTTTATTTTGGTATTTTTTTAAACAAATTCAAGCGCAGATTCACTCTGTATAAAGCATAGTGTGTCATTTCTTTGCTATACACTGGTATAAAAATTGTGTTTTAGTTAAAAAATCATTTCCAGCAGTTTTCTAAGTGAAAATCTGGTTTTTAAAAAAAAATCCACAGGCAAACAGCAATAATATATGCAGTTTTTGTTTCTTTGCTAATATAGTGAAAGAGACTACGAAATTGCAAATTGAAAATATTTTTACGTATAAAATTCATGGACCCAACGGAAGTGGTTAACCAATATTGTATAAATATGTGGCGTTTCTTCCATTCAATTCCGGATTTATGTAAAAATTGCGACAAAAACTTTACTTTAGTTTTCTTTTTGGCAGGAGTGTCGAAAAAATTAATAAGACTTTTTTTCAAAAAAAAAAATATTGTCTTATTATTTTTTAGTGCAAATTTTTTTGAGAATCAATTCTTTTCAAATTTCTTTTTTATATAAAGATTCTATAGTTTCAATTTGTTCTTATTTGATCATATGATAGTCTTATGATACGTCTTTATTTATCATTCGTGTCTCGAGATTTTTCTGGGGTAATTTGACTGATCGGAGTAGGTCGTGGATATAAATGCGACGCTTTCTGGTGAAACTTAATGCGACAGGGAATTATAGTTTATGTTTGGGAAAGTTTTTGCTTGATTTTAGGCTCACTTCGAATTATTATCTAAAGTAAAAAAAAAATCCATTTGACCGCTTTTTTCATAAAAAAAAAAAAAAAATTCCAGTCTTGAATTAATTTTTCCCGGTGATAAAGAAAAACTCTCACAACTTATTTTTCAAGATTTCAATATTCCATTTTCTAGAAATTTTAATTAAAATTCTTCTCTTATTCAATTATTTTTAAAATTTTTTGAGAAAGTTCCTTAGAAATTCAAATATTTAAAAAAAAATTCATCTAAAACTAAAATATTTCCAAAATCCACTTGTTCAACAGGACAATTTCATGAAATTTCGAAAACTTTAAAAATTCTTCAATATAATTTAAAAATTGAACTAATTGAAAAAAAATGTGAATAAAAGTGTTTCAAAAAAATTAACTTATTCAGAATTTTTAACTGTAAATTTTTGAAATTCAATCTATGTTAATAATATTAATTTAACAATAAAAAAATAGTTACTTATAAATTATTGCAGAAAAACGAACTGATATTAATGAAAAATACGGTTTTTTTAAAAATTTGTTTTCTATAAGAAAAACAGAATTTTATTTATTTCAATGTAATTTTTAAAACTTTTCATAATTCTGATTATGAAATAATTAAATTTTTGCTTAGAATTTTATTAAAATTTTGAAAAATAAGTTAATTGATTTGAAGAATTTTATGGAAATTTTGTGAAAATTAAATTAAATTAAATTCTTTTGAGCAATTCAATTTTATGAAAATTATATTAAAAATAATTGAATTCCTGTGTATTGTATTGAAAATAATTGAATCTCGTGCGAAGAATTTTATTAAAGTTGAATTTTTTAAAATTCTGTATCTGAAATTATTCAAAAATTTGAAGATGATTTTTGAAAATAAAAAATTTGGTAATTTACATAATTATAATAAATTAAATGGGGCCCCAATTAAATAGCCTGTTTTCCTAGTTATTCCTAAATAATATTTTTTTAAAAATTGAAAGCGTAACTTTAATAAAATTCAATTATTTTTTGAAAGAAAATAAAAAACATTTTTAAAAGAAAATTATTCAAAAAATTATTTAAAATAAATTCAATTTAAAATCTGCAAAGTTCGATTATTGTAAAGAAATAAAAAAAAATTTTTAATTAAATTGAATATTTTCTTTTTTTTAAAAAAAGCTTTTGCGTCGGACAACAAAATTCAGAATTTTCTTATGAATTCTAGAAATTGAATATTTTTCCAGTATTTTTGATAAAAAGCCTTGACTTTTCCCTGATTTCCCCGACAACCTTTTGAATAATTAAAATGCCTTAAAACACTGAAATCATAAATTTTCTCCGCTTTTTTTCTTATTTTTAAGAAAAACATATAAAAATTTTCATTTGTTAAGAAATTTTACTAAATTCAAAGTATATTTTACTAATTTTCAATAAAATTAATCGCGGATATTATAAAATTTACTCTGGAAATAATGATTTTTAATAGTAAACTTTACTATTTTCAATGTTAATTTTTTTTATATAAAAAGTATTCAAATTTTCCTCGAACATTACAATTAGCTATTAAAAATTATTTTCGAGTAAATTTGAGATACTATTTGTAAATTCTAATTTTTCTAAGATTAGAAAATACTCAAAGTAAAAGTCTTTTTTAAATAAAAAAAGTAATTCGGGAAATAACAATTTTTAATATTAAATTTTACTACTTTTGAAGGAAATTTTTCCAAGACCCAAGTGAATTTTACTAATTTTTTTCTGAAATTTACTTCCTATTTTTTTTGGAAAATAAAATCCCCTTTGTTACTTAATATTACATGAAAAAATCACTGTGATCTCTATAATGAAATATAATTAATAATTATTTGAAAATAAAGATTTTTATTTTTTCTCACAAAATAACTAGTGTTTTTTTTAATTAAAAAAAAATACTTTTTAATAAAAAAAATTTTTAATTTCCGGTCGAGAAATGACTCTGTAATTTCCCAGTTCAGAAAAATTTCCTATTTTTCAGGTTTCTGAATTTTTATTAATTATTTTCTGTAATAAATAATTAATCAAAATTTTCTTAATTATTTTCTGTAGTAAGTAATTTATAAAAATTGTCTTTGGTTTTAGGTAATTCAAAATGAATCCATAAAGTAAGCAATACTTTCCTAAACATAATTTTTTGTCGAAGACCAATGGTGAGAAATGAGCCACATTTGGATGATAACGACATACCTATTCGCCAATGTTAGTTTATAGTTACAATAGGGGGACCGTTATAAAACGACACGACGAGTAAAGATTTGCCTAGTTTCAGGCAAGAACTCTTGAAATTCAGAACAAAATTTTCTCACTTTAGAAATCACTCCAATTGATTTGGAATGATTCCGAAAAGATCTTTCTCTTGACCTCTCTTTTTCCTCATTTGCAATTCCTCAAAAATTTATTTTATCCTCAAAAGTAAAAATAATCCCGGAAAAATGTTGTTTACCTATTTGTTATTTTCTAGCAAAAGAAGCGATGCAAATTCTATTTTTTATTTTTAAATCTTTTTTCATTATGTGGTGAAAATAGAATCACTTAGAAAGTATCGCACCGATTCAAAAATTACCGAGTAAACTTTCCCCCTAACAAAAAAGAAAAAAATAATTACTAATCTTGCGCTTTCGAATTCCCCTTTTTTTATTAATCGTAGACAATCGTAGAAAAAAGAGGATTAAAAATGTTATTTTGCCATTTACGAAAATTGACTCTAAACGATCAAACAAACACAAGATGGAATGTTTTTAAACAAGAAGAAAGAAATTAATTTCGGTCAAAAAATTCTTGAGACTTAAAAAATAGAGTCGATTTTATAAAAAGAGAAACAAAAGGAAATATTTTTTTTTCTACTACGTACAAACGACAGAGACGAAGAATTAATGATTAATGATTAATGATTAATGATTAATGATGAGAATGATGTTTATGATGACAATGATGATGACACTAATATGATTTGTAAATGGAGATGAAAAGGTTGTTCTCATAGCGAATAAGGCGGACTCGTGAAATTTTCATTTACCAAATTTGTTGTTCCTTACGTTATAACATGGCAGTATCGGCTTGATATCTTTTTTTTGAATTATTTTTTTCAACGTGTCGTTCTATCGCATTCGCAGTGTTTCTGCGTCCAAATAAAAGAAACTCCACGTTTCACGCAGAGGGATCAACATAAATATTTAATAATATATATAAGACTTGGGTTTTTCAGTTGCCTTTCTCTGTAGATTCGGAGAGTTTAGAAAAATAGTATGACTTCTAGCGGAAGGAAGGTAGGGAGAAGAAGCAAAAAATCGACCGAGTCTGTAATAAATAATAGGACACTCCGCGATCCAATAATAATAATAATAATAATAATAATAAATATACCGGACGAGACAGAATCACGGAATGGATATAGCTTTTGTTTTCCTTTAAATAATATATGGCAAACTCATTGTCAGTCAGTCAAGACCCGTGTGCGTTACTTCCGGGGCGCGAAAAAACACAACTTCCTTTCGCCCCAAATCTACAGCAATTTCAACGCAATATAGTTTTTTTTTTTAATCTCAAATTCTCCCCTTAATAAACATTACTTTGCCACTTAGACGCAATTGCATTACGATTTCACATCGAGGTAGAAAGAGGGACGAATTCGATTTAATTTTGTCACTCTCGATTCGTGACAAGAAAAATGGAGAAATAATAATTAATCGATTCACCGCCCTATATTTACAAGACGAATCGAGTCTGCAATGTGTAAAAGAAAAAGAAGCAATAAACAACGCTTCTGATAATTTTCACAAAATCAAACTTTTCTTTCCAGTACAAATTTTTCTTTCATTAAAGAATTTTTCGTCGGAACGTTCCAAGGAATCGACGATAGTTGGAAAAAACTCGACGACAAAAATTTGAGAAAAGAGAGTCATGGATTTAAAAAAAAATCGAATTTCGTCCCTTCCTCCACAAGGAGCAAGATGGCCAATCGACCACGATAGTTGTTCGGATACTATACACAGACGTGTGGACACTACATTAGAAATTTGTTCATCTTTTTTTTTTGTCAATAAAAATGTCGACAATGCCCGATTGGGACGAGTGTCAAACTTGGAATTCCAAAAGAATCTGAAGCAATCTGACCGTGTCCAGCGGTCGTCGAATTTAAAAGTCCGACTTCCAGTTTCAAGGACACTGAGGAAGAGATAAAAAAAACGGAGCAATTAGGCGGACGAATTAAAAGATTCGTCGCCGAAACTCGATGAAAAGGGGAAAATTGGAAAGATGTGTTTGAGAGAAAATTGTTGACACTCGTCCTATCCTGCAGGCTTAGTTGATGGCTCACTGAATGTTTGCTCTCTCTCTTTCTCTCTCTCTCACTTTTGCTGATCGATAAGTGTTTCTCTCTGCGATCCACGTTTGCAATCATCGATAAATTTTTGGTCGATCAGTGACGGTCTTGAGGTGATTTCGTGGGACGCAAGGATTTGCCGGTGGCCTGAGCTAAAGTACCTCAAGCGTAGAATTCACGATTGTGGTGTGGTGCCCCAGGTTTTGGATATGACTGCGTCGCCGGTGATCTCCTCGGTTCGTCGAGAGCGTACGAACCCTCGTCCTTCTTGCGCATCCTGTAGACGATGAACATCACCACCAAAATTGCGCACAGCAGTCCAACAACCGCTCCACCGATTACAGCTGAAATTTTATTAAACATTGCTATTATTTTTTTACCAAATTTGAGTTATTAGTAGCGGAGATTGGGGAATTGTGGGCCACCTCAATTATTTAATAATATTTACAAGTTTTATCACCCAAATTTTTTTTATTTTCTTTAGTTCGTCCAAAGTAAATTTTTCATCAGCATTTCATTACAACGTTATTCATTAAATAATTTTATGATTTTTTTTCAAAATTTTTTAAAATTAATTTTCTTGTAATTTTGAAAAAACATGTTCTTACCGGCAAGTACTCCTGGCTGCGTGAAGAAGGAACTGGCCCGGTCCACTGTCTTGGGGTTCATATGAACACCGATGTCATGAGAGTCTTCCATGTCTTCGTCAATGTCAGATGGCGAGTCGAAATTGTCAACTGCGTTGTCCGTTTTAGGCACAGTATCTGGGATATTCTGTAACGGGAAATTCAAATTAATAGCTCACAGGTAATAATGATAATAAAAGTTTTTCAAAAATATCTAAATTGTTTTTAGACATTTTAAAATAAGTCTCCATACTTTAACCCCTTCGCAGTCCATTGAAAGAAACAAAAAAATTCTATTTAGATATTATATATTTTACAGACAATTTTTTAATCTTGACATCAAATTTAAATTTACCCAAAACCCCCCGTGGAAACATTTTAGAGAAATCCGTAAATTAAAAAAATTTGGTCGAAGGCTAAACAGTGTCCCTAAAAAGTATTTTAGGAGAAATAGGGGACTGAAAATTAAAGAATAGGGGACACTTTTAGGGGACCATAAAAATTGGTTAAATAAAGATAAAAATATAATTTATTTATATAGGATTGCCACAAAAATTTAACTTTATTTTTCCCTGATTTCCAAACACAACTTTGACTTTTTCCCTGACCCTAAAGAATATTCTGATTCACTCCAAAAATTATTAGATACTCAACAAAATGTTCTATTCAATTTATTTACAAATTTCTTCAAAAGTAAAATTATTCGAAAACATCAATAGTTTTATTTAAAATAAATATTTCATCACTTTTTTTTCATTGGAATTAAGATGTTCAAAAATTTCAAATTCAAACCTTTTCAAATTGAACAACTCATAAAAATATTATTAATTATTAATAAAGATGACCGACTGACAAAATCATTATTTTATTATTACAAAAATAATGTTACTGTAATTTCTTCAAAATTATTTGTATCATTTCAATTCAATTATTTAAATTCAAAAATAAATAATATCGAATGTTTCTTAAAATTTAATTTTTACGAAGAATTTGTATTAACAACTTTTTAAAATATTTAATTTCATTTAAGGAATTTAATTCAAATTTTAATGAAATTTATTATATTAAAAAATTTTATAACAATTTTTGAAAATAATTGAAAACTTTTTGAAGAATTTTATTCAATTTTTTAAAAATAATTGAATTCCTGAGAAGAATTTAAATAATAATTTATGAATACAATTGAATTCGGGAGAAGAATTTTATTAAAATTTTTGAAAATAATTTACTTCTTGAGAAGAATTTTTCATATCTATTTATAAAAATAATTTAATTCTTGACGAGAATTTTTAAAAAATATTGAAATTTAATTTCTGCAAAGTATTTTATAACTTTTGAAAAGAATTTAATTCTTGTGATGAATATTGTTATTTATGAAAATAATTGAATTTTGCAATGAATTTTTTAAAATTTCTGAAAATAATTAAATTTTGTCAAAAAATGTTATTAATTTTTTAAATAATTGAATTTTGCAATGAATTTTATTAAAATTTCTAAAAATAATTGAATTTTGTTGAAGAATTTTATTAATTTTGAAAATAATTGAATTTTGCACTGAATTTTATTAAAATTTCTAAAAATAATTGAATTTTTTGTAAATAATTAAATTATTTCAGAAAATTAAAAAAAAACATTTTTTTTAAATAATTGATTTTATCGAGGAATTAAAATCAAATTTTTAAAAATAATTACATTTTTTGAGCAATTCCTGTCGAATTTCATTAAAAATAATTGAAATCCTGCGATGTATTTTATTATTTATGAAAATAATTGAATTTTAGTTGTTAAGAATTTTATTAAAATATTCCAAAATAATTGAATTTCTGAGAAGAATTTTATTATTTATAAAAATAATTTAATTATTGAGAAAAATATTATTAATATGTTTTAAAAGAATTGAATTTTTGTAAAAATTTTTGTTATTTTTCAATACAATTGAATTGTTGCGAACAATTTTATTAGAATTTTCTAAATTAATTATTCTTGTGATGAATATTGTTATTTATGAAGATAATTGAATTTTGCAAAGAATTTTATTAAAATTCCTTAAAATAATTGATTTTATGGGAAGAATTTTGTTGTTTATCAAGATAATTGAATTTTGTAATGAAGTCTATTAAAATTTTTGAAAATAATTGATTTTCTGCGACGAATTAAATGTTATTTATGAAAATATTTCAATTATTGCAAGGAATTTTATTGTTTTATTAAATAATTGACTGTTTCTTAAAATTGAATTCTTTCCTTAAGTTTTAATAAAATTTTTAATAATAATTGCATTTTTCAAGGAATTTATTTAAAATTGTATTAAAAATATTTGAAATTCTGCGATGAAAATAATTGAATTCGTAAATGAAATTTTATTATTTATAAAAATAATTGAATCTTTTCGTAGAATTGTATCAAAAAGTTTTTTCTATAATTAAATCTGTTGATAAATTTAATGAAAATAGTAAAAATATTGAAAATTATTGAATTGCAAAAAACTTTTGAAAATAATTGAACTTTTGCAAAAATTTTTATAAATTTTTGAAAATAATTGAATTTTTGGCGAAAAATTTTGCTATTTGTAAATATAATTGAATTCGTGAAATTTTTTAAAAATAATTGAAATTCTTCGAAGAATTTTATTACTTTTGAAAATAATTGAATTCTTGGGATGAATATTGTAATTTATGAAAATAATTGAATTTTGTAAAGAATTTTATTAAAATTCCTAAAAATTAGTAAATTTCTGTGAAGAATTTTGTTATTTATCAAGATAATTGCATTAAAACTTTTGTAATAATTAAATAATATTAAAAAAACAACCAACTTTTAAATATAATTGAGACTTGACTTCACCAAAATACTAATCTTACAAATTTTATAAATTTCATGAAAAATTTCAAGATTTGAAACTTTCAAAACAAAAGTTTCTAAATGAAATTTTGAACGACACTTTGCTAAATTTGGTGTAAATGCATCATTAAAAGATAAAAGAAAAAATAGGGGAAATTTTCAAAATAGGGTACGTTAGGGGCCAAAACTAAAAAAAGGGGACTTTTAGGGAAATAGGGGACAGACTGTGAAGCTTGTGGTCGCCATATTGGATCCGCCATTTTGAATGTTGAAAATCTGTCATCATATTCGTAACAAATTTCAAGCAAAACTGGTGAATTTAAAAAATTTTTTAAATTCGTCATTTTGAATTTTTTTAAATTTGACGGACAAAAACGCATTTCTATTGCGATACCCACCTGTTTTGTCTTAGGTGATATGTTTTCATCAATGTGTGGTACACTAGGTTCCGGTACTTTCTTAGGTGTCGTCTCTAGTGTATTATGTTGATTAAAATCTGAAAATGAAAATAAATTAATAAAGTTACATGAATTTCAAAAAAATGTTTATACGTTTTCGTTAACATTTTTCCCCAAATAAATATCGCCGCAACAAATTATAAAAGCATAAATTTTGAGAAATTCACAGAAAAATCTCAAATATTTCCGAAATGGAAAACATTTGATTAATTACTCACAAATGAAAAATATTTATTATAAAAGACCGTGTTGGGGCTGGTGGGAAGAATATTATTTTTAGAATGCACCTAGAAATATGTGAACGTGGAGATATTATTGCGGAAAGCGGAGGTGGAGGAACGGTAGAGGGGAAGGGGGGGAAGGGCAATGCATTCGGAATTCTATGCGTTTTCCAATATATTCCGCGTTTAGCTGTATGTGCGGTCATGAAAGCCGAAATGAATTTCCAATGACCATGATTCAGAATGACGTACGACTGGTTGCCATGCATCCATACTGAGAGTTGATGTTTTTTTTTCAATTTTCGGAAATGCCATAAATACGTCTAACCATTGGTTTCCTCGTCTCCAACTCGTCCGTCCCATCGGTTACCAGAAGTTGTCATTCTGTCATCTCTGTCCCGTATCGCGCTCGTATTTTTACAGGCAAAATGTTTTTCATATGAGCTTTTTTTTACGCTTCGACGTTTCTCTCGCTTAAAAAGAAGTCAGTGGATACGATTTTTCATTCCGCGCGCTCATATGATTTCAACACAATGGTTACGGTTAACGGTCAGTGCTTGCAAAGAATAACAGTGAAATTTATACTAGATATCTACCCCTTGTAAAATGGTTTAACTTCTCAGGCGTGTAAAGATCAAATGATTTTTTCCCGATTTTTTTTTTTTTTTTTGACGGAAATTAAAAAAGTATCACTTTTCCAGAATTACATCAAGTTCGAAGTTATTCTTTCACTTGAGTAAGAATTAATTTCTTAAAAATTAAGACACGTGAAAATTATTATTATTATTCTGTCTATACTTTACTGATATTAGAATCTTTAAAAAGAATAATTTAGCTTGTGCTAAAATACCAAGATTTTTGTTAATGCGGATAAAATGATGAATCAGAATTAGAAACATTTACCGTGACCGCCGTCGTCACCATCTTCGTCATCGGGCCCAAGCCCACTGCCTGACGCCTCGAGATCGTCGCGTACTTCACCACCCCCTCGACCGGAACCTTCCAAGGCTTCCTGGTCGTCTAGGTAGAGATCATCTATGTAAGGCGAGTTCCCCGCCGATTTGTCACTTGTAGTCTGTTCCTTCTGGAAAATAAAGAAATTCACAATTAAAATCATTGATTTCAAATTATTCTTCTCTAAAACTGCCAAACAAAATCACTATTTTGCCTATTACTGTTTTTAAACAGTAATAACAGTAATTTTTTTTTTTTTTTAATTAATTTTTTTTTTATTACTGTTATTATTTTTATTTATTTTATTTATCACTATTTTCATTAGTTACTTGATGACTCCAGCAGTGAATTTCTGGATCGGCGCATTTCGAGTAATGCACGAACTATTTTGAGCGAAAGTAAACAAGACGTGTAGCACGAGGCGAGCTCTCGGAGAAGTATTATAAATACCGTTGGAATTCAAATAGTGGAAAATATGTAAAAAAAATTAATATTAATCGACGGAAAGTACCCAATAATTAATAAAATTAAATGAACGTTGACAATAAATTCAACGTTTACTCCGAGTCAAGATAATAAAAAGAAAAAGAAAAAACGATTCCTGCCTACCTCAAGTACTATCCTCTTCAGTGGATAGTCAATTTTGAAAAAATTGTCCGCCATATTGCATCCGCCATTTTGAATTTTGAATATCTGACTTTAGATTCGTAATCAGCGGATTACGAAGTCAAAATTCAAAATGGCGGATCCAATATGGCGGACAATTTTAATTTTAATTTTAGTAACAAGTTTCAATAATTTAAATAAATAATTCAATTATTTTTAAAAAAAAGAAAAAAAGAAAATTCAACTATGTTCAAAATTTTAAAAGAATTCTCGTCAAAATTCCAATTATCTTTATAAATAACAAAATTCTTCTCCAAAGTTCAATTATTTTCATAAATGTCAAAAAAAATTCTTCTCCTAATTTTAATTATTCTCAAAAATAAAATGCATTTTTCTAATTTCCATGATTTTCAATATGGTTACAGGATATTATGATTTTTTCGACTATTTTCAAATAATGCGACTTTTATCGACTTATATTAAAAAAATTGCGACTTTTTCGACTTTTCTTCCAAATTTTGCGACAAAATATCATATTTTTAGTATAAAATGCTGCAACATTTTTCGATTTTTACGCGCAGTATAAAAAATAGCTGTAGATTAATCTTTCAAAAATTATATTTGAAAATTTTTTCTAATTAAATTTTTGAAATATACAATAAAAAAGATTTTGAACAATTGAAATTTAGTAACATTAACTGTTGTAGAATTTTTATTAAAAATTTCGGAAACAATTGAATTTTTAAAAATTTTAATGAATAATCTTCAAGTGTAAATTCGATAAAAAATGAAAATATTAAAATAGTTTTGAAAAAAATAATTCTCTGACAAAGTAATTCAAAATTTTTTAAAATTTACTATTTGAGAATTGTTTAGAATTTTTGAGAAATTATTTATAATTAAAATTCATTAAAAATTTGATTATTTTTTTTAATATTTTTTAAAAACTCAATTATTTATTTGCTTAATACATTTTTTTGCAAAATTTAATTATTTTAGGGAATTTTACTAAAATTTTTTGCAAAATTTAATTTTTTTAGGGAATTTTAATAAAACTTTTTGCAAAATTCAACTATTTTCAGATATTTCAATAAATTTTTTGTCTAAATTCAATTTTTAGGAATTTTATTAAAATTCGTTGCAAAATTCAATTATTTTCATGAATTTTTAAAAAATTTATTGCAAAATTCAATTATTTTCAGGAATTTTAATAAAAAATTTTGTCTAAATTCAATTTTCATGATTTTTTTTTAAATTTATTGAAAAATTCAATTATTTTCATGAATTTTAATAAAACTCTTTGCAAAATTCAATTTTTTTTCTGGAATTTTATTAAAATTCTAATTCATCTATAATTTTAATAAAACTCTTTGCAAAATTCAACTATTTTCAGATATTTCAATAAAATTTTTGTCTAAATTCAATTATCAGGAATTTTATTAAAATTCGTTGCAAAATTCAATTATTTTCATGAATTTTTAAAAAATTTTTGTCTAAATCCAATTTTTAGGAACTTTTAAAAAATTTATTGCAAAATTCAATTATTTTCAGGAATTTTAATAAAAAATTTTGTCTAAATTCAATTTTCAGGATTTTTTTTTAATTTATTGAAAAATTCAATTATTTTCATGAATTTTAAAAAAATTTTTGTCTAAATCCAATTTTCAGGAATTTTTAAAAAATTTATTGCAAAATTCAATTATTTTCAGGAATTTTAATAAAAAATTTTGTCTAAATTCAATTTTCAGGATTTTTTTTTAATTTATTGAAGAATTCAATTATTTTCATGAATTTTAATAAAACTAATAAAAAAAAACTAAAAAAAAAAATTAATAGGTAAAGCTAATAAAACTTATAAATTTATTGAAAAATTCAATTATTTTCATGAATGTTAATAAAACTCTTTGCAAAATTCAATTTTTTTTCTGGAATTTTATTAAAATTCTAATTCATCTATAATTTTAATAAAACTCTTTGCAAAATTCATTTATTTTCAGAAATTTTATTAAATCTTTTGCCAAATTTAATTATTTCAAGGGATTGAATTAAAATTTATTGCAAATTTTAATTATTTTTCAAAGATTTTACTAAATTTAAATTATTTTTTAAAAAAATTTTACCAAATCTCAAGTTAAAAAAAAAGAAAATTTAATTGTTATGTAATTGTAAAACTATTGCGTCTTTTAAAAATTATTTAGAAATATTTTTAAAAAGTTAATTTTACGAATTTAATTATTAAAATTTTTTTAATATATATTCTACCTTAATATCTTTAAAAAGAAAAATGAACGGTTTCAATTATTATAAGAATTGAATTTTTGTATTTAAATAATTGAATTCTTGAAGAACTTTCGGAAAAGTATTAAAAAATAATATAGCGGGTTATTGATTTAGAGATGAGGTTTAGTTGAAAATTATAGAAAATAATTGAGTTTAGAAATGGTTATAATTGTAATTTTTAGAAATTATATTAAATTTTATATAAATTTTACTCATTTTCCGTTAACTTTCATATTTTCCTGTGAAAATAATTTTGTCAGGAAATAGTATATTGTGCAACAAGTACAGAAAGAAGCTGTTTTCCGACGAGTGCAAAGTTTGCTGTCCCGAGCGAAGCGAGGGCAGCAATTTGCACGAAGTTGGAAAATCTTCTTTCGTACGTGTTGCACACAGTACTTTGTGCAACACCTTTTGGTTTTGATAAAAAAAGCTGTTTGGAAACGCTAGTTGACGCCAACATACGTACTATTTAGCAGGGTTTGGAACGTATGTTACCGCACTTAATATTCGTGGTTTTTTACGCGTATATTACTGTAAAAAACAAGTATTCTACAAATAGAAAACAAATACCTATGTATATCACAAAAAAAAACCCAAAAGTTTAAGAACTTTGCCGCACTAGTGCAGCAAAGTAAGCACTTTGCCGCACTAGTGCAGCAAAATAACCACTTTGCCGCACTAGTGCAGCAAAGTAAGCTCTTTGCCGCACTAGTGCAGCAAAGTACTGTTTTGCGCATACTTTACAGGCATGCAAAGTATTACTTTCCTTACAGGTGTTGCACAAAATAATTTTAATGTTATTAAATTTTGTCAGGCTAAATGTCAGGGAAATTGATAAACTGAAACTTGTGACCACCTTGTCTAGGGTAATAATGAGTACTTTATTAACCTGTGAGTTAATTTAATTTAATTCATTTTTATTGTCATTAATAAAAAAGTTTAATGAGTTAAAAGACCATAAGTAAGGAACCTTATTCGGTTGGTTAGTTGTGACTGATGTGGAGGATGTAAAAAAATGTGAAATTTATACGGTCCGAGAGAGATGAAGGAAGTATATACCAGAAAGGTAAGATCCAATTAAAGAAAGTATGTTATCATGGAAATCCATAATTATATTCTAGTTTTGTCACAAAAGTAAAACCATCAACCACGTCAAACGCTTTATTGGAGAAATCAATATTTTTTTTTTAATATGTCCGAAGAAAATTTATTCCTTGCAGAAAATAATTAAATTTTAAAAGGAAATAATTGTAATTTTTTTTAGAAATTATTAAATTTCAAAAGATTTTACACTGAAATTCTTTTAATGACAATTTTCTCTTATAGTTCAAATGAAGTCGTTCATAAAAAAATAATGAGAAAAAAAAAAAATTTTCAAAACTGAAATTCTTTGAGAGTTGCTTGCGTAGAAACATATATTTCTTCATATGACATAACAGCTACATTTGAATTAAAAATTTCCACCGAAGGGTTATCGCAATATTTTTCTTTATTTTACTTTTTACCGCTTTAAGTTGTTTTCATTTAAAATTTAGATTTTACGCAATGTTTGCATTTCAATGTTAACATTTAGATAAAACAAGTTTTTATTTTCATAAACTTTTATCGATATGAACATTAAAAATCCCTTCTAAGATTTATGACAGAACGGAATTTATTTTTAGAGAAGTAAAGCATTAATTTTTGGATTTAATATTTTTTCCAAATTTTAAAAATTTTATGCCTTGAAAAGTAATGTAATATTTATTGAGTTTCGTTTTTTATATGGAATGAAGATAAAAAATTAACATACTGAAAAATTTGATGCTTAAATTCACAATGAAGAAAGGGTATGAAAGGTGAAAAAGAGACGGAGATAAACTTTTGTTTTTGTACCTAAGCTTTCTTCTGATATAAAAGCCGAATTGCTTTTGACAGATTGTCATATAATGTCTACCAACATAAAGCTTCTCAGTGCTCAAAGTTGCTTTCGGTCGGCAAAAAGTACTTCACTTAGACTCTATTCTTTCTCTTTCTTCTATTCACTGACATACCTTGAAAATACTTCTACTATAATATTTTCATCTATATATATGTATAGAAAAGCTGAATTTAGATAGAGACAGATGAAAAAAAATATTTTTTTCTGCACAAACCAAGTCGTTATATACAAAAAAAAATTAAATTCATTGAAACCGAATTTAAGTCATAATTACGTAACAATTATTGAATTATGTTAATTATGTTCAATTCATTAAATTCTTA